ATATTTTGTCTACTGTAAAATAATGTACATTCAGTACAAAAATAATGTACATTGTATTTAAGAAATGTACATTATTTTTGTTCTGAGTGTACATTATATTGTATAATGTACCTTTAATATAAAAATAATATATATTTTAATATATTAAAAATGTACTTTTTGTTATGATACATGTAATATAGTGTGGACCAATTTGCCGGGGAGAGGTCGGTTAGGATTAAAAATTTATAATTCGCGATAAAGTGGGCTTCGAGGAATAATAATTAAAGAACAAAAAAATCTCTCAATAGTACTGGCCTGCAAATCCATCAAAATATAATCAATAATCAATTATGAAGGTTGAAGGCTTTGTTGGACTAGGTCCTGTTTGGGCAGGGCATGGAAATGATTATATTAGTACTGTACTTTTTCCATTTTATTCCCTCTTTCTTCCTACCAATTGGGCCCTGAGCTATACTTTGTAGGGGAATCTATGTAGGCCACAGAAAGCCCACTTCTAAGACACAGCATTTTATGGCCCAATACATTTTTCACAGAACGTAATGTTGTGAGCACGTGTTCACCTTGCAGACGTTATGCCATGGAACCGTGTTCACCATTCATGGTGAACACGGTTCCAACGGTGTTAGTGCACCGTTATCTTTTTTTTTTTTTTCTTTTAATTAATTACGTGACTGCCTACACATTCACTTTGGAACCATGAGATTATGAATTTTCTGTTATGAGATTATGAATTTTCTGTTATGAGATTATGAATTTTCTGTTATGCGATTATGAATTTTCTGTTATGAGATTATGAATTTTCATTACATTCATAATTTCGGAGTTTCGGACATTCATAAATTATGAATTCATGCATGCACATTCACTTTGGAACTATGCCTACATATTCCCGTCCGAAATCACGGACATTCATAAATTATGAATCCATGCCTGCACATTCACTTTGGAACCATGAGATTATGAATTTTCTGTTATAAGATTATGAATTTTCTGTTATGAGATTATGAATTTTCAGTTGTGCGATTATGAATTTTCTGTTATGCGATTATGAATTTTCTGTTATGCGATTATGAATTTTCATAAAATTCATAATCTCATAACAGAAAATTCATAATTTGATCAGTAACGCGCCGTTAACTCCACATCCGCGATTTTTTTTTTTTTTTTGCCTAAAAACGACGTCGTTTTGACTTGTGTTCACCATTCTCGGTGAACACGATTCCACGGCATAATTTGCGTACATTTGCAAGGTGAGTACAATTTCATATCCATAATTTTTATATTGTAGATTCATAATTTTTATACTGTAGAGTTATAATTTTTAAATCGTAGATTCATAATTTAAATACAGTAGATTCGTAATTTCTATACAGTAAATTCATAATTTCTATACTGCAGATTCATAATATATGTACTTTAGATTCATAATTTCTGTACTGTAAATTCATAATTTCCAAACTGTATAGTTATCAAATTACGAATATATAGTTCTCTGATTTGTGAAAACAGAGTTCAACAATTGAAATCTAAAGTATAAATTTTATGAATCTATAATATAAAAATTATGGATATGGAATTGTGCCCACCTACACCTGCTAACAGCATAATTTGCCATTTTTCACACGCTTCTTTATCGTAGTCCTTGGATGAGCATCAGATTGAATCCAAGAGGCACGCTTGTATTGCACGGGGCGTTGACGAAGACTTTCATTTATTTATTTTGAAATATATTAAGGTTGGAGGTCCTTAAAAAAAAAAAAAAAAAAAAGAGTTAGAGTCAAACACCTGGTGTTCATATGACACTTATATGACTCCCTTGATTTCATAAAGTGTAATTAGTATGATATTTACTTTATAGTTCACGTTGTTACCTGGACCGCACAGTAAAATTTGCCTAAAATTGGTCAAGTTGGGTAGGAATGGGGGCCTTTCATCCGTTTCATTTCAACCATTTGTGAACTCTTTGAACAAGATGGGAGTTGTCAAGTTTTCATGTTTATAGGGTGGTTAATTCTTGTGCAGATTGGTTGGCGATTCATGTTGTTTATTTAAGTCATAAAACTCAAAAGTCATTTTTTTTTTTCTAAAGAGAATCAAATTATTCCTATTAGTTCATATTTTGCCATATTTTTACTCGATTTATTTGTTATTTATTGGTTATTCTAACTCTTATTTCTTCTATTACTTTCATTAAACACACACGTACATACAAAAACTTACACACTTTAAATTTAATCTTATGCACCTTAACCTGTGACCTTACGCAAAATGACCATAATGTCACCGTGTTTTTTTTTTTTTAATTGTTATTCATTTTGGGTTGTTGATTTTGGTAATTGGATCCCATGAGAACAAACTCCTAAGAGAAAACTAAGAACAAATCTCAACTTTACATTTGTAAAAGTTCGGTGGTTCTCATCAAATTTTTAAAAAATGCAATGACATTTTTGTAATAATCATCAATTTTACTATGCAAACTTGGACACTTAAATATACAATCTTTAACAACTAAATATGCAAACCTGATAAATTTTATTAAATCAATGAAAAAGTTAAATTTTAAATCTAAACCGTAAATGTTAAGCAGTAAAAAGTGAACCACTAAACCAAATAAAACAGAAAATGCAGTCATAAACTCTAAAATTGAAATCCTAAGTGCAATGTACTTTTGTATTTTTACAAGTGCATTTTTTTAATACTAAATGTGCAAAATGTTAGAAATAAATGTACAAACATAAAAAATTATGAAAATTACAAATTTTAGTGTTCAAATTTGCATAGTAAAATTAGTGATAATTACGTAAATGTCACCACATTTTTTTTTTTAAAAATCAGATATATTCCATCTAATTTTTTCGAATATAAAATTGAGATTGATTTTTAGTTTTTCTTATAAGAACTTGTTCTCATACAATTATATATTATATATATAATAACATGACATTTCATTTGTGGGCAGCATGGGATCTTGAGAAAAATCTTTCCGTACCATAATTTTTGTAGGTTCCTTATGGTTGAGGAATTTATGAGGTGTTTTTCACAACCTAGTCTCTGTCCATGTCTGTGTCATGATTCATGTCAATACACATACCATATATGCTCAATTATATATTTTTCTTCTCATTATTACTACTACTACTAGCCCAAGTGTCCCCCACACCTCGACCCAACAGAACATTATTTGAGAATATGTAAATCACGGTGACTCAATGACTCAGCAAACAGAGCCAAATGTCAGTGTATGCGCATAAGAGATCTGCCTACTTTGAAAATAATTTTCAAACTGTCACCATCAAAATTCGAACATTTATCTCTTTTTCTAAATATTGCTTACTGAACCATTAAGTTAAGCCTATGCGGACAGACACCATTATTCTATAGGCTAGTAAAGTGTGTATTTACCATTGTGAATCCCGTGATCAAAAGGCTGTGTCGTCACGAGTTGTTTGGTGAGAAGTAATATATCGAAAGTACTTGGAAGATAGCAATAAGCATGAAGACATTAAAATGTTTGGTTTGGTTGTTTCGGCTATTAATGACTAAAACCCTTTCCTAGACAATGCTTGACTTTAAGGAACGACCAGAAACAGTCCATAGCAATTGGATGTATATATTCCTTTGATTTATAGAAAAAGTCAGTCTTGTGATCTTAATAGATAAATTATCAGATAATAAGAATATAAATCAGCTTAACTTATTCATAACTGATTCAAATAAAAAAAAGGTCATAAATAGCTTTTTAGTGGTTGAAAATTTTGCAACATTTAGTTTTTAGGTGATAGAAAAACAAAATAATTAAAAAAAAATACACTACTTTTCATCGGCTAGTGGAGTAAAATAGGGCATAATATGGAAAACTCTAAAAATTTAACCTATTATTGATATCAGTAAATTGTGTGTGGAAAAATATTCTCACCTACTTAAATAGCTAGTCCCAAATATCATAGCTAGATACAAGAAAACTAAATGAACTTTATAAAAGATTTTTTTTAAAAAAAAAAATTTACTACACAAAAAGATTGTGGACCAAATTGATGGGATTTGTTCTCATATGCATGCAATGATTCTATTTTGATGAATTATATTTCATTACATCTAATATAAATGGTCTTAATTACAATAATATATGTCCAAGATCATATGGTTTAGGAAATGGTTACAAGACATCAAGCATGCTATATTGCTATGACACCCACTTTGAAAAAACATACCATTCACTTTACAATTTACATGCATACTATTGATTGGAGGTCGGTAAATGGTCAATCCATTAATTTGTGACTAGGAGGATTATTGGACGGAAATTAGTGAAAGGTCAAGTCCAGTACCTTGCTTCTCAAAAATGTGATGGCCATTTATAAGGTAATAAAGCTACGACTTCGCTACTAGCTATAACTTTTAGCATAGTGGTAAACGTTTGATCCTAATACATATATACGTACCAAATTTATTGGCAAAATTTATGTTTGAATATGAAACTTTATTTAAAGAGAACTTTTTTTTTTTTCCTTGAAATCATCTCATATGTTGTCAGAGCTAAAATTAAAAGGATTAATAGACAACTTTCACAGTAAGTCGAACTTGATGTACTCCTAATTATCCATATTAGAGTTATAATAAAATATTTTCAATTTGTAAGGATTAATTGTCAAAATGCCATTCTAGTTTTTATTATGGCATAAAAAATGCCTTTTAATGTTCTAGAAATTTCCATGAATATATAATAATTATATGGATATATATGAACTTAATTATCACAAGGGTCCTAGCACCTATATATCAACCTCTTCCCTTACTCTTTAAGTACCCCTAGAAGGCAACTCCCTGAAAACCCCTCTGTGCTTTCTGTGTTCGCCGGCCGGAGAATATCTCCGATCAGCTAATTTCCCCATTTTCTTGGAGAAGATCTCTGAACTCACAGATCGAGTCATGGCTCTCTCACGTGCCATGCTCGTGCTCTCCTCTTTCCTTGCATTTATGGTGGCTCTGTCAACTGCTCAATCCCCCATGGCTTCACCGCCGGGAGGAGGCGGCGGCGGCGGCGTCACAATGCCCCCGTCGGTGGCGGCCTCCCCTCCGAAGATGACCCCGGCAGCACCCAAGGCAGCTCCTCCGATGGCGACGGCTCCACCGCCCATGACTGTCGCGCCAATGGCAGCTCCTCCGATGGCAGCGGCTCCGCCGCCGTCAGCGCCCATTGCGGCTCCTCCGATGGCACCGACGGCGACTCCACCAATTGCCAGCATGAGCCCAGGCCCATCTATGGACTCACCGCCGCCCCCCATGCATATGCATATGGGACCTTCAGGGGCACCGGGGGCTTCGCCGCCGGGGTCTCCGACTGAAGGACCATCGCCGCCGCCGTCGTCGTCCGGCGGTTTTGTGCATGGAAGCGGCGTGTGCATGAGCATTATGGTAGCATTGCTTGGGGGAGTGGCAATCCTATTTTAAGTATTCATTTATATCATCATTATCATTCACATTTGGTGTAGACTAAAAATAATCATTTGTGTATTCTTTTCATTTCACTTTTAATCTCCTCTTCTTCTTCATAGTTTTCTTTTTCTTCTTCCCCCTTCCAATTTCATGTTGGATTTTAGAGCTTTTAATTCATTGTTGTATGGATCTTTGAGTATGGATGAGGATTGCTTAGAGATTTATTTGGATAGATGTATGTACCATATATCTTGACTTCACTTCATCAATAAGACCTCTAGCTTCCTAAACATTCAACAATATAATGTGTGATGCCATATTTTGGAAGTGTTGATCCAAAAGTAACTCCGAAACTCAAAATTTTTGATTACTCAAAACTTGTCATAAAATCTTGATTCGTCATCACGAATAATGTTTTTGACCATATCACCAATTACTCTGGAGATTCACTCTTCAACAATGTACGTCGGTGCTCATTCACCCCTAAAAAAAAACTAACACTATACGAGACATGACATATGTACTAAAACTTTTGACATCAATTGACATGTAATTCTTGGTAATTTGTTGCATATTTAATTCTTAACTTTCTCAAATGTGTGTGTATTGGAGAGCAACCCCAGTCTTCAGCCAGCGGTTAGTAATTAGTTAGCTACAGATCGATAACTTAGTATACTTCTGGGTTTCTCTCGGTACCTAAAAAGATGTGTTTATTGACTATAAGATATTAATTCAACTATAGCAAACCTTGAAATGGTTGGAGAGTTTTGTAATTAATTTGGTTGGAGAAAACTCATGTTAGCAATGAAGCATGAGTGGTCCTATGCTAGCTAGCTAGAAGTGTTTGTTTCTCCTCTTGGTATATTATGGAAAATAAAGAAAATTGGCATCATCTATCATGACACATGAAATATGTGGGAATACTTAGCTTGCATACATCATGTAGAGGAATTTAGTGCTAGCTGGAAGTGATAGGTGGAAGGATGAATAGATGCAATTTATTGTGATGGGGAATTGGAGGAAAAGTTAAAAAGGAGTGCTAGCTGGATGAGTAGAAATGTGTGGCCTTTGAAAGGAGAGAGTGTGTCCTTAGCTTTATGTGACATCCTTTGGTGGGTAGGAAAAGGTAGGTAACTATGAGGGGTAGTATATATATAGATTAAATTGGAAAATGATAATATATTTTTTATCAGGAAGTAAAATTCTAGTTACATTACATATTTAGATTAATCGAAGAAAGAAAATAAGATGAATTAAAGTATGTCACCTTGGTAGAAATTAAAGTAAAAATTAAGATAAAACGTTACAGTTATCAAGGTCAAGCTCCACTACACAAAAAAGTTATATAACTTTATTTTCTTAGATTGTCACGTTTTGTAGATTAATGGTAACTCAGTTGAACATAGAGGGGCGCCCCCCTTACTGTCGATGGTACGTAAAACTCGATCCCGAATTATTGTTTCTAAATTTTACCCATATAACTAACTGAGCTGCTCATGCAGGTTAGAAAAAGAAAAGATAAAAGGAGAATGGTTTTTTTTTTTTTTTTGGTGGTGAATGCATGTATAACAAGAGGACGGTTGGTGGGTGGGGCTTACTTAAGACAAAGGGACACTAGCAAGATGGTGATGTTCACATGGTGTGTGTACCTATGTATGTACAAACGTTGTTTTGCACTTCTGTATGTACTACCCCCATAACCCTTTCTTTAATTTTATCATCTCAATTTCACACCGACGACTCCATCCTGTAATGTGCTTGCAATCCCAAAACAATTTGTTTTCGATACATTACGTTTCAGCTTACACTAGACTAATCAAGTCCCCATATCTTGTCCATGCACTTTAGATCAGATAATCTACCAATTGACATAGTCACCCTTATATTATTATAAATTAAAGTTTTTGTTTTTATTTTTTTATTTTATCGAAGAATCTGAAGAACCCCGAGAGAGCAAATTAGACATTACAAGGAAGCATTTTGGTATGAGAGGCACTATAATTGTGTTCCATGAGAATGTGCTAAAGATCAGATGACAGGAAGATGGAATTGTCAAACATATATACATTTTTCTTCTAACATATAGATGTTATATTCTGGTGAACAATAATGCAATTTCAAAAGGAATTTTCCTACTTGGATGATACTAAACACATTCCTTGCTATCATATATTAGCAGCAAGCCAAAGTAGGTGTTGCAACATGTGGATGCAGCATTATGCTTTGAAGCTAAGAGAAACATCAGATTCTTGAAAAGTTGAAATAAAAATGGTATCTTTGTCTTTAAAGTTGCAGAGGAAAGCATTGGATTCCATGTAAAAGAGAGAGAGACACACACACACATATATATATATATATATATATATAGAGGGGTGATAACATGTGGTCATGTTGTTAGGTGTGGTCGTGTGGCGGAATTTCATAATACACCAATAGTTAAGTAAGATATACAACATCAACGTCAGAAAATGCACCACAAAAAAGGCACACAAATTAAGTACGCATCACCAACAACACACCATTAGGTGTGAGTAAAAACACCATACAGTGTCCGAAATACACCGTTGGGGTTGGTGAGTTATATGGTGTATTTTTTGGGTCTGTTGTGTATTTTTTGGTATTTTTTTTGCATTTCATTGTGGTGTGTTTCCCTTACACTGTTGGTGCATGTTGTTAACACTGTTAGTGTATTATGAAATTCTGCCACACGATCACACCTAACAACATGATCACATATGTGCATTATTATTATTATTATTATTATTATTATTATTATTATTATATATATATATATATATATATATATATATATATATATATATATATATATATATATATATATATATATATATTAGGGGAAGGGTGGGTATATAACATAATAACTGTCACAAGATGCAAGAGAGATGCCCGGGAAAATGCAAGAAAGCTTAAGGAAAATGTCTTAATTCTAAAGACAAATGAGAACAATATATTTAGCAAGGGTAACTTATATACATATATTAATTAACAACATTCTTTTAACAAATAAGATCTACATCTACAATTCTAACAAGAGCCAATAATGTTAGGCCTTTAACTGGAATAAAAAAAAATGTTGGTACTACTTGTTTCTTAAAATGAATGGTTCATAGTATTTTGATTTTAGTATTTTAATGATTTTCCTTATTTACCCTTTATTATATTATTTTCTTTCCTTAAATAACTTTAAATTCTGTTAGTATAAATTTTATTAACGGAATATTTCGTTAACTATTAATTATTCTTAACTTGCTCATTAATTTCTATAAGAAAGGTTTTCGAACCTCATTCCAATTAGAATTAGCATAATTGTTAAACATATACTACGAATATGTTAAAATGTATTAAAAAATATAATATATATAAACTTTGGTCAAATAATTAGCCCGACTAAATACATAGCATTCAATGATTATAAATCAGGAACTTTGATAATCATTTGATTTTCTTTCATTAAAAAAATAATAAATTTAAGTTCAGTTTTTTTTTTTTCGTTTAATTAATCTTCTTTTGATTATTGAGAACAAAACAGTTTGTCTCAACAACGAATGAAAATTAAAAAAAAAAATCAATGATTTCATTATTGTGGATGAAAAGTATGTAAGCCACTTTATTCTATTGTTATGCTGTGGAATTGTGTCCACCTTGCAATGTGAACACAGTTCTATGTTCATAATTACTGAATTATATGTTCATAATTATAAAGCTATATATTCATAATTTTTGAACTTCATATTCATAATTATTGAACTATATTCACAATTACAGAACTCTATGTTCATAATTACTGAACTATATGTTTATAATTATAAAGCTATATATTCATAATTTTTTAACTTCATATTCACAATTATTGAATCTCTATATTCATAATTATGTTCACAACTCTATGTTCATAATTTTCGAACTATATATTCATAATTATGAACAGTTTTGGAACCGTGTCTACCTTTGTCCACCTTACAAGGTGGACACGGTTCCACATCATAATTTTTCCACTTTATTGCTCTTATTACTGAAATTAAAAAAATAAATTAGTAGCTACAACAAAAAATAATACATATGCATTTAATTAATTTAGAATTAGATGTCTCACAACACATGAAACATGTTGGGGAAAATTACCACTACCAAATATCAACATGTGCTTGTAAGATAAAGAGTTCATAGCACAACTAAGATCTCAGTCATATACACAACAAGACAAATCTGAAACTTCATACACCATAATCTCATTGCATGATGAATCCGTCTATGATACTACCAATAACCCAATTGCACATGAGACACTACCAATAACAAAAAAAAAAAAAAAAAAAAAAAAAAAAAAAAAAAAAAAAAAAGGACATGTACTGAAGATGAAAACAATAACAATGCTACCTAAAAGAAAATTAGAAAAATTTAAACTAAAAATAGTATTTATTTAGACTATCGCTTTTAGACTTAGTACTTAGATTATCGTTATTATAAAGTTGCAAACATTTATTTTTGTGACAGTTATATATAATCAATCTCTCATATATTATCTTGCATTTATATACTTTAAGTTACCGATTTGAATAAACAAATTTAACATTTATTTACCTATGCATGAACATCTTCTATATAATATTGCATTGATATACTTTGGAATACTTATTTAAAAATTAGTATTGGGCATTATCCTATTCGCGCAAAGCGCGTAGAAAAACTAGTAATACATTAAAAGTATAAACTAACCGTCCTTGAACCAAACACAATGCACCAGGGTTCACATTGCACTATAGACCCTGATTCATGTGTACATATTTTGTGTTGTGAGTTTTTGTGTCTTGTGTTATAAAATCTTGTAATTGAAAACTATGAATTCTGTACATGAAACAAATTAGTAATTGTATCTTATGTTATGAATTTTTGTGTCTTATATTGTGAAATTTTATGCATATGAACACAAATTGTGTATCTAAATCATATTTGA